CAACACGATGCCTCAATATATTTGCGTGACGTTAAGTTACCATCTATGTTAGTATGCCAAAGCATCCAAGAAGTAAAAAGGAAAGAAGGAAATGAACAGAAAAGATAAAAATCAGAGAGAGAATGAGAGGAATGTTTTTTAAATTCTATTAGTTATATATACTATTTAGATTACTCAGTGGCTCAAATAAAATATATGTACGTTTAACTCTCACTTGCGTTTTACACAGGAAAAAAATGTTTATTCTAAACGACAGAGAACCTCATATTTTGTGTGCATTTGGTATTACAATGCCTGAAGAATTGATATGAATTTATATTAAATAACTCGCGTATATACCAAACATACGCATTAACGGTCAGTACATTGTCTCCTATCAACATGTGAAATGTGAAGTATATATAAGATTTTTTTTGGTTAAAATCGAAGAAAAATATAAACTTATATAATTATTCTGTAATGATGATTTTTTCCCAGTTAGGGTGAGAGAGAGAGAGAGAGAGAGAGAGAGAGAGAGAGAGAGGGTTTGTCCTGCATGGGCATTAATAGTTTGGTTTGATTTATAGGTACTTGTGACAGTTAGGTATCTTGCCAAAGGGTCTTTTTTTCGGAGTGTGGAGACTTGCACGGGATATCGCGCTCAAGCGTATCCCGGTGTATAGACAGCGTCACTAAGTCCATCTGCAGAAGACTGGATAATATTCACTTTCCAAAAGGTTTGTGAGACATGTGTATGTACAATTGTATGCATTCTAAAGAACATGGGTAAATAAGGTCTAATGTCCCCGAAGAACAAATATGGGACCAGGCAAAATTTATCACAATGATGGGACCAGTACAGAAAAAATTCTCATTTTAAAAAAGTACATGTCCCATGACTTTCGTATTGAAAAAAAATTACCCCATGCCTTAACACTTATTATTGCAACCCCCCCCCCCCCAAAAAAAAGACCGCAGGACATGTAATGGGTATTTTTTTCACCTTGTTCATCCGTGATCTTTGAAAACTTTCTGCCATCATCAACAATGAAAATAAGTAAATTTTAAAAGTGAAAAATACCAAAGAAGAAATAATTTTGGTATATGCAAAACACATGCATGATCTCTCTCTCTCTCTCTCTCTCTCTCATGTCAATAAATGTGAAATTCACTTCCTGAAACAAAAAAAAAAATTATCAGATAAAAATTTCTTTTGCATCTAGAGAATGACTCATCACGTACAAAACACGAGTTCTATCAGATTTCTGGTTTCCCCAATGTCCTTGGTGCCATTGATGGAACTTTAGTTTCAATCACTGCACCCAAAGACAATGAACCAGAGTACGTTTGTCGGAAGGGCTATCACGCTATAAACGTACAAGTGGTTGCTGATGCTTCCTTAAGGTATAATTTCTTTTTCTTTAAAAAGTGACAAAAGATATAAAATATTTCGACGTTACTGAATGAAAAATAATATTCGCTTTCATTTATGTCTCAAGGTTTACAAACATAGTTTGCAAGTGGCCTGGGTCCACACATGATGCTTTCATCTTCTCCAACTCTGAACTGAAGACCCACATGGAAACAAGGTACGAATAGTGATATATACTAAAAGTTTTAATATCACTTTCTTTTACGACCTCTGTATCATTTGGCACGTATTTAAAACATTACCTCCACAGGGATGACGGCTGGCTTCTCGGGGACTCGGCGTATGCTTTAAAACGTTACATGATGACGCCAAAATCCAACCCAAGCAATGAGGCAGAGGAAAATTATAACTTAGCCCACAGCAAGACGAGAGTTGTTGTTGAAAGAGCACTTGGTGTGTGCAAATCCCGATTCAGGTACCGTTTAACTAAAATATTTCAAAGTTTTTAAAACAATTAAGAAATTTGGAAAGGTGTGTGATTTTTATTTTGATTTGAAATATAATTTCATCATACTACACTGTATGTGTTAATTTAGCGGGATGTTGATTACGCATCGCAACCAGGGAGGAGGTGTTTCAGATTACTTCAATTTTGCTTCATGAAGGCTAGAATCAAGATCCATTCAGATTAAAATGTAAATACTAAAATGTGATTTTTTTCTTAATAGGTGCATACATAAATCTGGCGGGATGCTTTTATTTACCCCTGCAAAAAGTGTGCAGATCATCACAGCTGTGTTTAAGCTTCACAACATGTGTATGGACATAAAGCTACCCATAGATGGAGAGATGTTTGATAACGATCCAGACCAAGAGTTTCCTGGGTCAGAAGGTGTAAATGCAGATGGTGCTGGACAAACAGTCAGACAGAGACTAATACAGAGATTTGCCAATTGAAACTATCAGTCCGTCAAACAACTGAAAAATCTCCTGCTATTGCAATTATAGGTTTTTGCAGATGCAAGGTGTCCATACTAATCAAACTGTCTCTGAGCATTTTGTTTGCAGATGAAATGAAATATTCTTAAGGAAGCTCTAAACATCAACGAACTTTTTTTTGGATTTTCAAGAATATTACCGGTATATAAAGAATTAGAACTCTCTTATGTACAGTGTTTAGAGCTTCCCTAAAGATGAAATGATTTCTTCTCAAATAAGACAACTGAAACTGTTTTACATTGTTACTATCATAATCATTTAATTATTCATCTCACTATAAATATCAATACATGTAAATACATGTACTTCAGAATTCTCAATAACGGTAACTTTAATTATGCATACAGCTGAACAGGTGGCTGACCAAGGAAGAAAAGCTTTTTTTCTTATAAATTCTTATCACTTATACATGTATTTCTTTCTAAAGAATAATTTTATTATGGTTAAAGTAATATATATAGCGTGTTATCTGATTAGCAAAACCAGAATAGTTTACCAGAACCAGTATTGCTTACATCACAGTATATGTCTTGCATCATCAGCATGTCAACCTGCTTGACATTAAATCATTTTGTTTATTTTGCTAAAGTAATATTGCTTGACTACTTATCATCATATGTATTGTTACCATATTTCAGAATTTTAAAGATATTACAGTAATTGAACCCTATTTTGCTGCTGTTGTTTTTTCTACAAACATTCCATTAAGATACATGTAGGACATAAATAACTGTAGGATAACTCACAACCATTATAATAATATGCATAATTCACACAAAACAATAACAAAATTTTGTTTCATTAACAGAATAACATTCTTGTGAAATTTGTACAAAGTAAGCATCGTAAGCATTTACTTCACAAATATACACACACCCTCAAATGAGATATACATGTACAGTTCATCTATACAACATAACAACTACATGTAATTCAACAAATACAGTTCCTACCAATCTTCCAGATTAATTTCTTCCATCAAAATATGAAAATACAAGTAAAACCCTTCATCTCATTTTGATACTCTTTACATTCACTAAATGATATGAAATGAAAGTAACACTTTATATGATATCATATGACATTTAAATTTTGCAAAATAAGGAGTTAACATATACAAAATGTTAGATTTTTTTGTCACTGCAATCATGGTTTTCATAATATTTAACATGTACAGCATTTTCAAATGGAAATCTAACCCTCAAATAAAAGGTATGGTAATAAGAAAACAAGAGGCCCATGGGCCACAGTGCTTACTGAATTACCTTTACCCTGTTCAAAAGAAGAATTTGAAAAAAAACAATCTGAATATCTATCCTTATAAATTAATTAATTTCATATATTCATATTAATTCAAAGCAAATTAAAAAAAATTACAATTTATCAGTAAACTGTGCATATTTCTTTTTTACCTCTATATAATCTCATGTAAAGCTTTGATTCCCTAATGTGGCCCCCAACCCATGGGACACGATTTGAACTAGAAATATGTCCATAGGACATGAATGCCCCTCCGAGTGTATATTAGTAAAGCAACATAAAAATTTGTATTAGTGTATAAGTTTGATGAGAATATCTTGAAAAGTTTCTTTAAAATTGAAATTGAAATCTAAAAAAAAATGGATATAGATGATAAATTCTCATCAAATCATGTATAAGTGCATAAGCTTACAGAAAAATATCATGAATGGTTTCTTCATTGGAACAAATCTGAATACTTTTTACCCAGAGATGCTTTATGGCAAGTTTGGATGAATTTTGGCTGAGTTGTTTTGGAGAGAGGTTGAAAATGTATTGGTATTATTTACATTTGTAAATATATTTTTTTAGATGAACCTATTGAAGAGAAAATATGATCAATTCTGTATGCACTTATTAGGGGGTCAGAGGTAATGGTGTGACGAAGATCATGCATTTACTACTTCGTAAGATTTTCACCTTCAGTTTGCTGTAAACTAATCGTTGAAAAAAAAAACTTTTTTTTTTTTTAAATACTAAACATATACATATTCCTTATGTATATAATAATATAATGATAATTATTTTAATAATTAAATAATACTTTAATAATTGAAGTCACTCATGACTACTCAGACAGTATGTTGTCTAGTCTATGCATCTATTTTATAAAGAAAGACTTTAATTAATAAAGCATCTTCACGCTGCACATTATTTGCAAAATACGGCAAACATTTATGATGTCAACTTTAGTGCTAGTTTTCTCGATAACATCACAATGCACATAAGGGTGGTTTTCGCTTTGAATTCATATATAAAGAACTCATACAATAATAGTAAGATTATTCTCAGTAGCGATCACTGATTATTTTTCATTATGAACAGATATTTCCTGAACTGGACTGCTGAACATCAATGTAAGTACTCAAATGTTGGAGCGAGGTGAACTCTCAAGACCAAACAGCTTCTAGGTCAATGTGCGTCACAACATAGCAATACGGCAGGTCATTCATGTAATAAATGCAGTTCTATTCGGAATATTCGTCTCAAATGTAAATAAAAGTAAAAAACAATAATGTTAAAAAGTTCACTGGGAAATGAACTTAGTTGGAACGTGATCATTCTACTGAGAAGCCCTTTGGGCTTCACAGAATTTGATCACATGACCAAGCAAGTTCATTTCCCAGTGAACTTTTTAACATTGTTGTTTATTTCTTAAATAAATTAACAGACGGACAGAGAACATGTGATCAGAAAAGCTCACTTGAGCCTATGGTTCAGATAACCTAACAATCACGAAGTAAAAAGCCCTCTGATTACTGGAGATACTGTTGGTGATCTTTCTATGCCTTCTGTGTAGATCTTCTTCCTCCAGTTCACATAATCTTCTATAATGTCCAATTTCCTTTTCTCAATTGCAAGGTGTTCTTTCATTAAAATCAATTTTTCCTCCTCAATTTCCACAAGTCTGTCTTTCACTGGATCTGAAATTAATGTTTACATTTGGTAAGAAGGAGCATACAGAAAATAAAAGGTGTGTGAATTTAAAGATAAATCTGCACTCTATTAATAATTTGCATAATCTGCTTTGAATGTTTCAACCAGGTGGAACCTGTGTATGTACATGTATTTTACCATTCACTGTGGAGTCCTTTCTTTTGGCAGTTCTGTCATCTAAAAACAGCAGAATTGTTACATGAACTAAACATTTATACATTTTTGTTTTGTAAACCTAAAAATAATTGTGCATTTTGTTAATGATCATTCACATTATAAACAGTCAAGATAAAAATAAAATTCATACCTACAAATGCACTTTTTTCACTTTTGATAATCATTTCATGTATATATATATATATATATATATATATATATATATATATATATATATATATATATATATATATATATATATAGTCTGAAATTTTATTGGAAATTTGAACTAATTACACTATGATGTTGTATAAATCTTAAATCCCTTGGCTGGTACAAATGTATATGTATTTTATACTTAGTATATTAGTATTTCTATTATACTCACTAGAGATTCTGCTGTTGACAGAATGACTGTTAGCTGCAACAACAGTGAAAACAAATAAAATGAAAAGCATATTTTCATTGCAGCTCTTTAAGAAATGAATTTACTAGCTACCCAAGTTATACTGGTATAACCTGGGTTGGGTCAGTTTACACTTTATAAACTGCGAAGCGGTTTATAAAAAAACGTAACTGTTCCAAAACAGGTTATACCAGTATAACTTGGGTAGTTATTAAATTCATTCCTTATAATTCAATTTTCCATCATTAAGTGTAGAAAATAGTAGAATTTCTCCTTCAAAAATGCCTTCAAATTGTATGTATTTTAACTGTGACGTCAAGTGGATTGATACATTTTTGACATAAGTCACTGTGACTTAGGCAACCCAGGTTATACAATATAGTCAAAATTTTTTATCCAATCAAATGATGTGTTACAAGCACAATTAAATTATTTGTCATTATTAGATTGATTATAATTTTATGTTGTATTAAAAGCAATGTTTAAGTATTGTGATAAATTTAATTATTTGTGTGAAATTTGCTCACCTGAAATAGTCTTTAAAGCCTTTTCTGGTTGGTAGAAACCTGAGTAATTAAAACTAGAGATGTACATTGTACAGTACAGAACACTGCCAAAGAAAGAATGCATAGAATTTACCTTTAGGATTGCTTGTTGTTGTTGTTTTCTTTAAAGAGTGTGTAACTTTTCTCAATATTTCAAAGGAACATATGCCCAAATACAGAATAGTTCAAAAGAAAAGTTTTGATACTTAAATTTCAAAATTGTGTTAATGACATAATTGAAATAATTTGCACATTGTCGCATTTTTTTTTTTTTTGGCTTTCTCTGAAAGAGGGTATAATAAAAAGTAACTAACCAGATGATGGTGGTGCCTCCATCCCCATTTCTGGTTCAAGATCTGCTTCCTCTAAAATTTATATATGCAAATTATTATCAAAGATGTAATTTTTCAGTTACCACTTGTATCATATGTTAAATTATAATCATAAAAAATTAAATAAAGTATATCTTATAATTATTGACCATGAAATAAATATAGTTGAACTTCAGTATCTCGAACAATAATATCTCATATACATGGATATGTCGAAGTGATTTGGAAGTCCCAACTACTTTTTCCTTATGTATTTTACCCTGGATATATTGAGTCCTAGGATATGTTGAATTCTTTTTCCTGTCCCATTGAGTTCAAGATAATGAAGTTTGACTGTATGTAAAAATTATTTTCAGAAACATATACGAGTACCATATCTTCTCTTTGTCACTGGTATATCTTGTCCGGATTGAGTATCTACAAAAACAGAGGGGAGATAAGTGTTTGAGCATAAAAACAAATCATAAACCTGATATATTTATTATATTCACTCATATGTATAACAGCTATGACTTACCACTTCAGTTAAAAAATAACAAGAGGCCCAGGGACCACATCGTTCACCTGAGCACTGTGGCTAGGAAAAAAGCAAAAATCAGTTTAGTATTGAAAAGCTTGAATGCATAAGTGGTCCTGGCCTACCCTGAAACGGAGGGGGTTGGGGGGTTGAGGGGTTGAGGGGTTGAGGGGGGGGGGGGTATGATTTGAACAAAATTGAATCTTCACTTATTAAGGATGCTTACATATTTTTTTGACTCACTGTGACTTTTTTCCCCTACAAGCTTGAACTTTCATTGTGGCCCCAATTTACTCCTGGGGGTTATTGATTTGAACAAACTTGAATCTACACCACCTGAGGATGCTTCCATATAAATATGACCAAACATGACTTTGCTGTTCCTGGGAAGAAGATTTTTGAAGATATTTCCTATATATTGCTATATGTCAAACTTTCATCATTCATTGTGGCCCATCCTGGCCCATTGGTTGTTGAGAAAAAGATTTTCAATGATGCCATTAATTTTTCACTATTTCATAATTATCTCCCCTTGGAGGAGGGCATGGCCCTTCATTTTAACAAAATCCAAGGATACTCTGTGCCAATGGCCCTGTAGTTCTGGAGGAGAAGATGAAAATGTGAAAAGTTTACGACGCCAATGACGACGACAGACAATAGACAAATTTGGGTCAGAAAAGCTCACTTGAGCCTTCAGCTCAGGTGAGCTAAAAACTGTATGATCAGATTCTGAAATTTTTAAGTGTATTTATATTTATACTTGCATGTTTTATCTGTTGGCAAACTTGCTGTACACAAAGAGTCAAAACCCCCCTCCACACCAGAAATGACATCTTCTGAGAGGATAGACACAATCTTTAAAGAAAAAATTTGAATTTAAATACAATACATACTTCTCTAATTGATATGAAAATACATTTTTTATTGAAACCAATTAAATATCACATTAATTTATATCTTTTTTCATGTCATTTTCAAAAACTTTAAGTTTTTTTTTATTTTGGAAAAGTAAGAATACATTTCAGTTACTTTTCCTTTAAAAAAAAATTATATGTTTATTTTAAGTTCTTTTAGAAGAATACAATTAGTCAATTACCTTCTTCTCCCAACCCTTCAGTTCTGGAGGAGGTGGTCCTCCACCCGTCTTCCTGAGCTCGGCTTTCCTATAAAATATTTAAGATATAAGTATCATTTTTAAACTTTTATCAGGATGTAAATAAGATTTGGTCATGTGATCTAATTCATAAAGCCAGAAGGGCATTAGCGCTTCATGATAAACATCCCGGCGTGAAGCGTTGTAGTTCATGTACCTCACGAATCTTCATAAATTAAATTCATTCCTTATATTTACATTATTTTTCTGATGAGTTGCCACAATTCAACTGTCATTTTTAAAGCAAAACAGTTTGCACTATAGTTTTGACGTCAAGTACGGTAGTATGACGTAACAATGGATATATTCATGCTCATCCATGGTAGTTCATGAGAAAATGAACAGTTTTCTAAATTGCAAAGAATCTTAAGGAAAATGTATTGGAAATGTAAATATATCTCAATAAATGTTTAAAAATGGTACCTTCTTATTTATATTTACATATAATTTAATTTTGTTTGTATTCTAGCCTCTGATTGGTTAATATCCAAAAAGGAACACAAATTATTTCTGTATAACCTGGTTTGGTATGGGGACACACCCCCCTGACAACCAGCTGAATAATCTGTATCCATACAATCCTCTCATTTCCAGTCCTCGGGATTCATGGAAAATTCCAGATTTAATAAATGTACCAAACAATAATTCGATCTTACCACATGTAAACAAACAACAAGGCTGCTAGGCCTATGTATCAGTTTTTACCTCCCCTCGCTTCCCATCACTTCCGGTACTTCCGTTACTACGGTTGTATTATTGAGAGGCAAATTTGAACTAATAAAAAGCAACGAAATTTTACACCCATAGTTATTTAATGATTTTAAAATTAAATTATAAGGAATGACTCTAATTCTTGGCCAAAGTATTCGAGTATAACCTGGTTTGGGTCAGTTTACGCTGTTTTATAATCCGCTTCGCGAATTATAAAGCGTAAACTGACCCAAACCAGGTTATACTCGAATAATTTGGCCAAGAATTAGAGTCATTCCTTAATTAAACTGTGGAGGTAAGCAGACAAGAATATGTAAAGATATCGATATCCGTTATTAAATTCAATTGTTGTCAACTGTATCATGATACATGTTGTATCGCATTACTGTGTTGTGATATATATCGTATTGTTAGGTCGCTTGGGATACTCAGACGCACTGTTCAGTGTATACATTGAAATGAAAGCATAAATAAATTTCTGAGTCTATGATTTTAATGATGATTATCTATGTATTAGATAATTTAAAAAAATATTAATCCTCTACCCACCTTAAAAAAATGTGGGTCGGAGTACATCAAACTAACAAATATTTAATGATGACCATAGAACAATTCTTGCCAATAGCAAATTTTTCCAACATTCCAGCCTATGTCTGATCATTGGTATGGTTAATGTATCCCAAGAAACGTCATTTGCAGCTGGAAGAATTTGATTTTAGCAAGAACTATTGTTGATATAAAAGACGTTATAGATATAGGATCTCCCATGATTTGTAGTTGGATATGATTCTTATCCAACGAGTTGTGTGTTTTTTATCCCCAAAACACACAACGAGTTGGATAAAAGTCATATCCAACTACAAATCATGGGAGATTCTTTTTATCCCATGTTAAATACTTCACATCCAATGTTTTACACTGTTTTATATAGGACTCCACTTTATTTTACTTCATCACTCTAACGCAAAAACCATTGTGACGTCACAACTGCACTTAACTGTGGAATATGAAAAATTTATCCAATGAGTCATATCCACGGGATAAATGGGTAAACATGGGATAAATATATATATATATACTACCAAATAAATTTTTTATTTGGTAAAATAGCTATATCTTACGTGTACCTGTTGGCCTCCTTTTTCTTGGTGTGGCTTTGGATGTCCTGCCATTTTTTTTTGACATCTTTAACTGCTCTTACACAGGTGGAGCTTGCATTTACCCTGCATTTAATTACAGTAATCTTTAGAAAATGAAAACCTTATACAACTCAAGAACATTAACATATTGAATAACATATTCCAACAGACCAGTGATTTACTTCAAGTTTTGATGATTGATTGATTATTTACTGATTGACGTAAGCATGATTTCTTCTTTACTTTAGCCTATCTTTATCTGTTAAAATTATTTTACTGAATTTTCCCTTACTAAATTGCCGTCTAGCCGTTTTAAGTTCGGTAATTTTCCGGGGGAAAAATATTGAAATATGTTGGTTAGGGGACTGAATACAAGTTTTAAAAAACGTAAAAAAAAAAAATGCTTCAACTGCAGATGTTGTCATCTAGGTTCAATCTTATAAAGTACGAGATACCTTTCTGTGATGTCACGCCAGACGCGTTGTTTAGTCTGGATAGTAAGCGATGGGCTAAACTTCCCTCTAATAATAGCCCATCGCTCACAATCTGTAACGAGATCCACCAAGTTTTCTATCGCCGCTTCATTCCAGTTTGCCTTTCTACTCTCTTCCATGTTTACGATCGTCTGCTGTAACCACAGTTACCTCCTTAGTCAGAAGAGTTCCAATAAGTTGATCGTAACTCGTCGGTCGTAAGTGCTGCGTTTACGATAGGTTTAGTGAAACGCTCGTTTACGTGCACGTCTGGCAATCGTAAACGTAGTCGTACGTTTACGATCTACGATTTGTTAGTGAAACGGTCGCCTGGCCTGCACAAGATTTTGAACAATATGTTAATCTGTTTTCATCTATAATAATAAGCTACATTTCAATTAAAATCTTAAATAATGTTTAATCAATACCTCTTTGAATCCATTCAGACAATTCAATCATTAATAACTTGTACTAGTAGTGAGAAACTATTGAAAATAAATCCATATCGAAAAACACGTTGGAATGTGTCTCAAAAAAAATTCGAGGATGTGCTTTTATTTCCAAAATATCTCTGGTCTGCATTTGTATGGTAATGTGGGGTCTTAAAGTTTGTATGGGGTCTAGAAGCTGATGCAAATTTGGTGAAATATTAGAGTATAATTTTGAGCTCATCTCTGTGTCATTCAAATGTATATATGCAAATTGTATACGTTTTATTCCCGAAATGCTTCTTTTTCATTGTGATGAAGTAACTGCATGGTTTCATGCAGAGAGAATTAGACTATAGAATTAGATCATTTTCATGACAAACATGCAACAGCACTTTTCATAGTCAAAAAAGTGTTAATTAAAGCAATAGTTTCATTGCTTTTTAGCAAAATTCTTTTTATACTTACCAGTGTAGTGTACAGAAACTGTATCACCCTCTCTTGGTATCGTTTTATCTAAAAAAAAAAATAGAATTTTTACAGTTTTTCAATAAGCCAGAAAATGAGCTAAACTTTATTTGAGTCTAGTAATAATAGCATTTCATAAGAAAAAGGGTTATTGTTATAAAGATCGTATAAAGTTTTAGAAACACAATCAGTGTGTATTAAAATCAAGATTTTCCATGTTTTCTACCTTAGATTATCTAATTTTACATATTAGATAAGCTTCTCTAAGATCTCACATTTTTTTGGCAATATACTAAAGAATTCTTCATGTCTTCAATGTAGTGTCAAAATGAACACGTCACAATGACTTAAATGCTCTTTGTGTAATTTCATATGATAACTTTTTTTTTTTGAAGTACGATGCTTTTGAAAAAGAAAATATGTTTCACAACACAGTTTAGTTGAACATCAAGTTTTACCCTAAGAATTGAGAATCAAACAAAAGTGATATTTTCAATAAATATTTTTTGGGGCAGGACATACACTTGTGTATTGCCTGTCAAAAAAGTGTTTGATGTGAGAACCAGTAATATATGCCAGGCAAATTTGATTTTATTTTTTTATCAAGAAACTGTTTGCCATCCATATGCAATTATTGCATTGTATTCATTTCTTTACGCCTTGAGGCCATCTTGTCGTATTAATTGAATAACGAAAATTGACACTCGCCTGACATAAGTAATACGAAGTTAATGTTTTGTAGATCTTACCGTCCCCAACTTTTGTAGTCCTTATTTCAACACGACATTCGCTATATCCGTGTAGAATAAACATCAAGAGGGGCAGCAATAAGAAATCCATGTTTTAGCCAATAGTAACAAATATTCGAAGTCCCATAAAAACGATACACTCGTGACTAACAGAAAGGCGAAAATTTACGAGAAACTTACTGAACGTCACTATCTGTGACCCTAGTTGACCAATGAAATTCCAAAGAAAAACAACTGCGTGTCAACCTCTCTGACTTGCTTTCTATGTGTTAGTGCAGTCACAAACCATTGATAATTTAACAAATCGTCTTACTAAAAACCCTTCCTCCTTTCGTGCTGGCTATGATCACTGATGAAATGATGACAAGGCTAGTCGGCAACTTCAAGGGTTCACCAAAGAACATGATTCATAATTACATACATGAATGCAGTGACATCTTCCATTTTAGTAAGAGACGAGAGTTGTCCTAATATGCTGTTAATTTAATGAAGGGAAAATGGCTATATCTTTTAAGGTACTTTTTTAAATAGCACACGGAAATGATATAAAATACACCGTGAACTTGTGAATATGTGAATGAATTTAAAAAAAAAAATACAAAAAAGAGAAGTTTTTGGGGTTGGACAGGGATGTCCACTTCTCCCATCGTTATATTTAAGTTACAGATAGAGAACGATAAAAGTAAACAGAATGGAATAACAGTAACACAGATTATTTTATATTAGACTCTAGCAAACATAAGACACGCATGACACGTAAAAGTAGTAGTCATGTGTTATTGCTGGTTTATAGTCGCTTGACAGCTCGACTGACTGGCATCCCCTTTTCATATGTAATGATGCGTTTTACTTATACAGTCTTTAAACATACAAAATATTAAAATTCGTGACGGTAAATGTAACCGTAGATATTGACCAAATACTAGTATTTGTATGGCGGACCTTCTTTTCTGCGACCTTAAAAAAATAAGCTAAGTGTACGATGCTGTTCTGCGAGTATTCCACGAATCGACTAATTACATAGGATTACCTGCATTCATTTATATTTGATTTGCCAATAATCGTAGAAAAGCGGTATGTTAGTCATGGAAAAGCAAGATTTTTTTCTAGCAGAAAAGCAGCATAGATTCGTGGAACAATGGAATAGCAATGAGTAGTTTGTCCAGTAGAAGTGTTTTATTACAATTGATTTGTACAAGAAAAAAACACAATTTGTCCTTCTTTCCTTGCCGTTTGACCGTAATCGCCTTGGAATTTGCTTCAGACTTGCTGGCAGTCTAGTTAGAATTTTGGTCTTTAGCCACAACTACATCTTCCAGGGAGATGTAGAGAGGTTTATCCCACATGTCCACCAAATGAAGCTCAAACACAATGACGGAATTCGGGGGAATCGTTCTCACAGTCAAGGATAAATATACATGTAAATATTACAATACTAAATTATCATTCATTCTACAGGAGATGTATAATTATTATAAAAACTACACTGCATTTGATCATATATCACCAAAACTGATGTGTTTATATTGAAGGATATAATCCCGGTTTGCCCTGCTCGCCGTAAGCCATGTCTGGTGTGGCAGTCAGCTCGCAAATTTCCCCCTTACTCATCTATGGAAAATCAACAGTACACCATTCATAATATGCTAAGTCAGTCATATCGACAATCACCATAAAAGCTAACAAGAGTTTGTCTTCTGACGAAAATGAAACTGCTGTATTACGGTAATCTTGATTCTACTGTATTTAATTACGTCAATTCTATATAATATAACTTTCATTGCGATGTGCGAAAGTCAGTGATTTGACATAATATGAAACTGTAACGAATCACTAGGTAGAGCCAAAATTTTTTTGTTAATTCATTATACGTCATCTTTCTTACAGTACTATGTGAAACATGTTCTTCCTACATTAGACAAGTATTCACCGTATTAACGGACACCCTAAACGTTTTATACTATCCCTAAATCAAATGGAACGAATGAAATATGGAAATAACAACCAGTATTCAAGACCCTAAGTCCATTTAAACAATAATTCAGAAGCAGAGCAAACACGGACCCCTCTAAAACATCAGAGATGGGATCAGGTGCCATGGAGGAGTGAGCATCCCCTGTCGACCGGTCACACCAGCCGTGTGCTCCTTGTCATGATCGGAAAAAAGGAAAAAATCCGAAGACAATTCAGTGTGTAAATAATAGCCTAACAATTAGTATGAAAAGCATCAGTCAACATTTGAGTTAATGATGGGTTGTATTTGCTCACAAATCATTGCATCGACCATAGAACTTGCAAAATGATGACTTTAAACGATGCTGTTGATATTCTTGTTTCATCAACTTGTTTGTTAATAGCTTGCCTCGTTTTAGAAATTGTTCGTACGTAGAACATGTTCTTGGGTATCGAATCATTCAGAGAGACATAACCCCATATGCAGGTGATAAGGGTATATTGCTACATAAGTAAGGGAAGCTGACGATTGAAAAGTTGAAGTCATCACGTTTATCATAAAGCTTTGTTCTTAAGTTTCCATTAACGTCCTATGAAACATCACACATCGTAAAAATAAAATGTGTTAATCTTAAATATTTAAAATCAATTAGATGAAGAGCGACATTGTCTGCGTATTTTTTTGAATGACCTTAATGCATTATTAGATATTTAATATATTCGTTAATTACATGTACTTACACTTTTTACGCCTTCGTTTAATGCTGTCAAAATAAAAATTTCAACAGTTTACACACAAGTAACAGAGTAATACAAAACAGCAAATGGGTTTGCATAAGAATAAATGTCCGTCAGGTTAAATGAAAAAAAAAAAAGTATTTTGGTTGTTAAGTTTCAAATTTATATTTATAAGTTTTTAAAAGGCTGTTTAAAAGTGAAACAGATACAATAATCTAAAGGTTAAAAATGATTTGTTTAACCAACAAACATAATTTGCTTCTCCAGTAAACCCTTTCGTTGACGACTCTTACCTGGTATAGCTTCACCCACAACAAAGAACAGTGGTTTTCTCCCCCTGGAGCTTTCAATGACGGTGCCATTTTCAAACATCTCTGTGAAATGTCAAAATATGTTAATCATTTCTTTTAATCGTGAAAGGTGTTATCTATATCAAAATAACTCTCACATCCTATAAGAGAAATTGTTCGACCGACTTCTTTCAGCAAAATATTTCCCTGTATAGGATCTATAAATATATGTACATATTTGTACATTTCCCTGTACAGGATCTATAAATACATGTACATATTTGTACATTACCTGTATAGGATCTATAAATACATGTACATATTTGTACATTACCTGTTGCATGGACCATCACTGTCCACCTGTCTTCTGGATACGTTTTTCCTACAAGAAAATACACATACAAAATTACGATGTTTTTTAAACGAGACATATACGATAAGCAGTACTTCTTTTTACATAATCTGTATTATACATGTTTATCTTTCTGTTAGATACCATCTCCAGGAGCCAGGATCTCCTTCTGAATTCCTCCTAGAACAGACAAACACTGTATCACAAAGGATATACTCCACAAAAGCTTACTAGCCATGTCTTATTACACCGAAACAGTGATGAAAAGTTCAAATTGAAATGTGGAAATGTTAATTACAAGGTGGTATAGTGAACACATCAATCATTAAACAACGCCTGAGGCGGCGCTTTTCCGTATAAGGTACAATGAAGATGCACATGTTTGAGACAATGATGATTCAAAAATCTTGTAATATGTTTACTTTTCAAACTATGTCGTAAAATCTGTTCGTTTATGTTTTTAAAAATCATAAAGGAGACTGATATCTGTAAACTACAATGTGTTTTTCTCCTTTCATGGCATTTTTCTAACAGAAAAATATTTTTTTTTTATTTCCATTGTAAAACTATTGTTATACGATTGTTTAATATAATACATACATACATACATCCATCCATCCATCCATCCATATATATATATATATATATATATATATATATATATATATATATATATATATATATATATATATATATATATATATATATATATATATATACATTTACTTTTTATTATTTGAATGTCCCGTGTACGAAATGTTTTTTATGTTTTTTAGGGGACGACCATTTGATTTTGAAAGGTTGGGGGGGGGGGGGGGTCGAGTCAATTTATTTATTATGTTCCCCAAACGAAGTTGGGGAACATATTGTTTTTACTCTGTTTCTTATTAAGTCTTCCGTTCACAACGGAAGACTTATAGTGATTGTATTGTTTCTTTTTATTAAGTCTTCCGTTCACAACGGAAGACTTATAGTGATTGTATTGTTTCTTTTTATTAGGTCTTCCGTTCACAACGGAAGACCTATAGTGATTGTATTGTTTCTTTTTATTATTAAGTCTTCCGTTCACAACGGAAGACTTATAGTGTTTGTATTGTTTCTTTTTATTATTATTATTATTATTCCTCCCAAATTTTGTGAGCGCGATTACTCAGAGATGGTTGGATAGATTTTCACAATTTTTCACACGATAGTAGGCTGATATATGAAGTTTATATAAAATTCCGTTTTTTGAAAAAATCACTTCCGGTCCGAAGTTATGGCCGAATTTCCAATTTTAAAATGGACTTTTGTCCGGTGTTTTTCTCAGAAACGGTTTGAGGTAAAGATGTGAAATTTACAGGAATATTAGATCATGACGTTCTCTTTGTTTCGAAGTTGTTTTCGTGTGTTTCCGGTACTTCCTGTCCGAACCGGAAGTGAACTTGTGTTAGGTCAATTTTTAACTTTTTTGTATTTTAATATTTTTTCAAGATATTATTATGTATAACAGAAGTTCTTCTACAAATACTAAATATATAATTTGTTTTGAAATCAGATTCCACATTTTGTAGATTTTCGGTACCGTCATTTTCCCTATTTACCTAGTGTGTATACAGTGGGCAAAGAAAGATAACTCTGACTTGTAAGTGAGAATAGAACTTTCGAGATAAAGGCGGAAATAGTATCGATGACGTCAGAGACATATACACTCTCCATATCAAAATATTTAGACGTTCCATATTCAATCTTCTAAATGTAAGAGTACGTTGATTACCGCTTCCAGTGCATGTATAGTTTGAAGTTGCCAGTGGAGTGTAAGTCTGTTTTGACAGTTAATTGATTTACACATGAATATATCTAAAACAAAAATTAATATATATGCTAGCTATAGGTAGCTAATTCAATTAAATATATTATAAGCACTGAATATACATTTATAGTGATGGACAGGCATGCAATTTTATCTATCTCGTATACTAGGTTCAGAATACGATAGTTATAAGCCTTCTATAATGCAGACGATTTATTATTCTCTATGATTTGAATGCGAAATTATCCCGATTTCCGAGTTTTATTTCCGATATTAAAAAATATTACATACACTCAGAAAAGGAATTGAGCGATAGAAAATTGTAATACAGTACTGTTTTAAAGCCTTTATAAATAAATTGATATCTGCCACTTAAAAGAAAGAAAATCAATCTATAGATTAGATTTGGTTATTACATGTATATTTGATAAAAAGTTGAATTATTTATGACACATGATCTATACTCTATATACCCAAGGAGTTATAAAAGATGTGAAAGGCGATTCTTGGATTCTTGTGAAATACTCAAAGAGTTAAAAAAAAATATGTGAAAACGCGATTCTGTGTGAAATAATGCTTCGCAATATCTTTCTTTTGAAAAAAAAAAACATGATAAAAAATTGCACAGGTCTGTTGATATGTGGGATGAGTATACCTGAATGAACACAATTTTATGCAATTATATATAATTATGTACATTGTACATGCAACTGACCTGTACTTTTCCTTATAATTCATAAAACATAAAACTATCTAATTCCTTTGAAGCCGCCCCCGCCCCCCCCCCCCCCTCGGTCTTGATTAATATTTGGAGATGTTAGTGCAGCTAGGCATTTGAATTATATAATCGTTTTAGATTTAAATCTGGAACATGTGGTTATAAATACATTGACATGTATACAGAATTTCATATTCTATAATGGTAGATTTGTCATTATGATACTGAAATGTTCAATTTACATGTCTGAGAGAGAGAGAGGAAGAAAGAGAGAGAGAGAGAGATTCCCTCTTAATCCCGATCCTCCTTTCCATTTACATAGACCAAAAATTAGTTCTATATCAGTGACACCCATTCTTTATTAAATGTTTTTTGATTTCATAGTCAGTCATGGTCACATCCTGTATATTTTTCTGCTTAAAAAGTATTACACGAAGTGCACGTGTGTTGACCTGTCAATCAAAATAACCTGACGCTGTATGCACTGCAAAAAAGTAGCCTGAGTTCGAAATGATCTTAAAGTATGATCTTTAAGTACATCTGATGCAACAAACTTGTGAAAAAATAAAATAAAATAAAATATCGCGGTATAATAAACTTCGATTGTGGGACGTGGAGACCGGTCCTTGGGATGAGATCGTATAAATCGAGGTCCCGTGTCGCAGAAGGTGCTGGCACAAAAAAGATTATTCACTGCTCAATGGTGATAATTGCCAAAGTATAAGTATACTCCGGCGAGCGGTGGCGTCTCCATGTGAGTGAAAACTTCTCGACAGGGACGTAAACAACATATAATAAATCAATCAATTAATCGATTGCTTAATAATTACTGTTATTGAATAATCTTTCTTATAGGTATGCTGTCAAATCTTGATAGCTGATAGTACGGTGTTCGTTCGTCTGTTTGTCTTAGAAATGATTGCAAACAATTTTTTTAAATTGCTAATCATCCTTGCTCTATGATATACGTATATCTCTCATAGGTGCCAAATGCATTATACAAGATTGATCATGAAAATCAAAGTACCATAAGTACTGAAAGGACTTTTTTCCAGTTATTTTTTCTTTCACAGTTAATATGATATGTATGTTTTTGACACAGAAAAAAGCAAATTCTTACAGATTAAGAAGAACGGAAGACTTTTTTGTTGCCATGGCAACAAGAGTCTAGTTATTATTATTATTATTATTATTCCTCCCAAATTTTGTGAGCGCGATTACTCAGAGATGTTTCGATAGATTTTCACAATTTTTCACTGGATAATAGGTTGATATATGAAGTTTATATAAAATTCCGTTTTTTGAAAAATTCACTTCCGGTCCGAAGTTACGGCCGTATTTCAAATTTTAAATTGCATTTTTGTCCGGTGTTTTTCTCAGAAAGGGTTTGAGGTAAAGATGTGAAATTTACAGGAATGATAGATCATGACATTCTCTTTGTTTCTACGTGATTTTCGTTTGTGTCTGGAACTTCCTGTCTAAGCCGGAAGTGAATTTGTGTTTTGGTCAATTTTCGACTTTTTTGTTTTTAAACATATTTTCAAGATATTTTTAGGCGTAATAGAGATAGGTCTATAAGTGCCAAATATATAATTTGTTTTGAAATCAGGTCACCCGTTTTATAGATTTCAGCTACTTTCTTTTTCCTTTCAAAAATCAAAGTACTAAAAGTACTGATAGCGCATTTCTTACTTTAACTTACATGAAGGTTATGTTTACATGTTTCTCTGCATACAAAAATCAATACATACAGTATCATATATAAGAATGAAGACTACATTTAATTGCAGTAAATATCAAAGTACCTGAAGTACTGAGAGGACTGTTTTAGATACCCAATTTTTTCAAACTACAGTGTAGTATAAACAGGCATGTTTTTCTATACATAAAAATCAATGCATAGAATAAGTTACTTATGGAAGGTATTTTCATTAGCCAATAAAAATCTAAGTACCGCAAGGACTGAAAGGATATTTACTATTCTTTTTTACTTCGACTTATATATAGATGTTTCTCTAAATGCAAAATTCAATTCATACACTACATGTGTTAAATTTGTCATGTTTATATATAAGGACGGTGGATACTTTCATTTTTGTAGTGAAAATCAAAGTACTGTAAGAACTGACAAGTTGTTTTCTAGATAAAACCCCCTCCCCCATTTTAACTTTTAAATTTAAAATAGTTTAAATATACTTCTACTAATGAAAAAACATATGCATACAATATCTTATATAAGGACAACAGATACATTCATTTTTGCAGTAAAAATCAATGGACTGCAAGTACCGAAGGGACAAATTTTAGATTCTTTACAACTTAAATATTACATACTGTACACGTTTCTCTACAAAAAAAAATCAATGCAAACGGTATCATATAGGAACGGAAGACCTTTTTGTTGCCATAGCAACAAGAGTCTAGTTATTATTATTATTATTATTATTATTATTCCTCCCAAATTTTGTGAGCGCGATTACTCAGAGATGGTTGGATAGATTTTCACAATTTTTCACATGATAGTAGGCTGATATATGAAGTTTATATAAAATTCCGTTTTTTGAAAAATTCACTTCCGGTCCGAAGTTACGGCCGAATTTCCAATTTTTAAATGGACTTTTGTCCGGAATTTTTCTCGGAAACGGTTTGAGGTAAAGATGTGAAATTTACAGGGGTATTAGATCATGACATTCTCTTTGTTTCGAAGTTGTTTTCGTGTGTTTCCGGTACTTCCTGTCCGAACCGGAAGTGAACTTGTGTTTGGTCAATT